CTCACCTACAGAACCAAGGTCCATTTTCGCTGAACGGCCTCCGAGAAGGCCAAAAAGTGGAGAGGAAATGGTCCGAGGATCAATCCTCCGTGATGACAAAATTTTTGCATTGTGGTTGGAGCTTCCAAATTTTCTCAAAATGGCACCAGTGCAAAAATTAGGTATCATATTCATTATCAAACCACCAGTGATCATTTAACTCAGATTTTAACTGGATTATGGCGGAAAAAAGTTGTAACACCAGAAGGGCGCCAAATGGTGCCGAAGTGGCATAAATTGGAGTCGTCTGGAAAAATAAATGTCATATTCGTGATCAGAGCATTAGATATTCCCTGAAGTAGAAGTTTTAGAAAAAATTGGGATTTCGAGCCAGTTCCGAAAAATGGCCATCGACTCGAAGGTCGGTCAGTAGCCCATGAGGTACTTCCAGCCAGCGATTGGAAAATGAGTTTCCTCGTGATACTCCTCCTATAATAAGAAATTCCGCTACAGAATAGATAGTGGCAGGCAGCCAAGCTGGTGATGGGAAGCAGCACCCGCATGAGTTGAAGTCGACAGATTCTTCTCTCCTTCAAGACGTGATATGTTGGGTCCTCGGCTCCTCCACTCGTAGGCCTCATCTCCATAGCTGGAGCGATTTCAAGGACAGGGACGTGGTGGGAGATGTTCTCTATGAAATCGAGCTTTGGATTCCGTGAATCATCAAGGCGTTCCGCTTGATTTCCGCGCAGCGCTCGTCTTCAAGTCGCCCGCCGGCGTGCATGACGACCTGTGGCCCATGGTCACCTCCTTTTTCGAAGTTAGGTCAAAATTTCAATTTTTCGTCGAAATTTTGCCTATAGGGGTAAATCGGGGTGCTGATCACGGATATCACGTTCGTTTTTGGCGTCGGCGCCATTTGGCGCTTGGCGCTGCAAATTTATTCTGCCAGTTTTTGATAGTAAACCCATTTGCAGGGGCTGCTGATGGTCCTGATTGTGAATATAGCGTTAAATTTGACGCTGAAGCAATTTGGCGCTCATTTGGAAGTGACAATCGAAAATGCAAAAGCTTGCCATGGAGCGGAGTCGAACCCCAAAGCCCCGTCCTTCAAGTCCATCTCGCTATCCACTCGACCACCAGACCACTTGAATGAGACGATGCTTATGAAACGCTCCACTTTTTCCAGTACTACCACTGACAGTACTTCAATTTTTGGCGAATTTCACCTTGTTTTTGATACCATCTTTCTCAGCACCCTTCAATATGCAGGTGATCTTCTGTACAAGTCCGAAACGTCACTCCAAAGCTGTAAAAACCGCCATTCTCAACAAATTTTTCGACCCTTTTTTGGCCATCAGGGAACCGTTCAGCGAAAATGAAACATGGTTTTGTAGTCCATACATGAGTCCCTACAATATGCAAAAAACCGTTTTGAAAAAGCGCGGCTTGCCCTGAAAGACCTCCCTTGTTAGGTCAGGTTACGCAAAATTGAGGCAGCACCCATCTGATCGAAACAAGCCGAAAACGAAGCCTAGGCTCAATCATATGCTTAATCATAAGCCTTGTGTAACCATAAGCCCATGCCTAAGAAGCTCAACCTTTACCTTCATTGATCGAAGAGCTCTGGTGATCTGACCGCAGGAGGAGAACTGAACGTCTTCCGGGAAGGGGGGGGGGGTACCG